AGAGGGTGGACCATATGTTGGGGGGCTTGAGGCTTCTCTGGGGCTAAAGCAACAACCTCAGTCCCTTTGTCTTCACTCTATTTCTGCCCTAAAATTTGAAGTTTGTCCTGAGCCAAAGAGATACTTGGACATTTTCCAGTCCCCTTGAGATGACACTTTTCCACATAAGACTAACAATATTGGGAGTTATTCCTCAGATAAATAAAAGTGTAAACATAGGGAACCTCTGACCACTTTCCCTCCAATCTACAAAATAGATCTAGTTGTAGGATGGTGTTCGGATTAAAACTCCCATGTTCAGTCCAAGATTCTCCCTCTGGTAGCTGGTACTGGGGCTAGGCTGTCTTGCAGAAAAACGCTAATTTCTTTTTGCAAAGGCTGTCGAATCTGAGGGTCTTCCAATTTTTTAACAGAAAGCCCAGGAGAGAATTGGTAAGGATTGAGGTCTCCTGTCCCATGGTTTCTATGGGAAAAAAAAGAAGAGAGTAAACTCCCCACCAGACCAGGCGTCACCATGAATGGGGCTAGGAACCTTCACTCCAACTTCCCACTATGGGAGGCCAGGCTAATTCATTACGCCACAACTGTACCTCCTCAGTTGGCCACTAGATCATGTGTTCCCAGTTTCAGTGTGTTGACCCTGACCGTAGGGGGGTGCCACAGTCCCTCCTTTCCCCACAGCCGGTCCCTGTGTCCCATGCCTGTGGTAGAAATGGGGAGCTCTCTACTCTCAATTCCCAATCCCCACCCCCTTAGACTCTCTGGAGGGCAACTTTTCTGCTCAATCACCCAAGAATAAGAGGGACTCTAAAGGCAGGAAGGCCCAGAATTAGGAAAGGTAGGAAAGAAGGTAGAACAAGGAAAGGAATGCCCACTTTTAGGTCAGAAATAGCAACTTTTACTTAGGATGCCAATGCCTCTTATCCTGGGACTTCAATCAGTAAAGCCCAAGTCTGGCCCACATAGCTCCTATTCCAGGGTAGGGTGCACAACTGTGAGCATCCTTCAGTTCCCAAGAGTGCTCTCTACCTCTTCCACTTTTTAAAACACACCAGCTTCTGCAGTGAATAGGCAGCCCATGGATTCTGCATGAGGGGATGTTGAGGTCCCTTTCTAGGTTAAACCAAAATTTCTACTTAATAAAACTAGGAAATAGAATGCAAATCTCATTTTCTGTAATTTTTCCTGCTGGCTCAGGGATAAAGTGCAATCCCTACCCTTTTTCTTTAGTTTTAAATGAGTTTTCAATGTTCACACTGCTGCCAGAACTGGCTATTCCTAGTAACCTTAATTCTGTGATAACAGATAGTAACGTAGTAACTGCAGCTTAAAAGCAGGCTGAAAATAGAGAGACTGAGATTCCATTTTAACTTGATAGGGACAGACTGACCATTTGAGTTCTGAACTTTTGCTATATTTTGCTTATCAGACATTTCCCTTTTAATTGTAACCAACTTGATTATATGCCAAATTTCTTCATAAATTCTCTTTCACCAACACTGTTACAACTTATACAGACCATCTGCGACTTTCTGTTTTTGTTCCAAGTTTTTCTTCTCTTAAACTTCTGGTTATTTTAGGACAAGAATTTCCCATACAAGATCCCTTCTTGCACAATATTATTCTCCTTTCTATTTAACCTTTCTTACCAAAAATAGTTTCCATACTGATAGCCTTTCTATATCTCTTATTCCATTTTATCTTTCCTTTTTCCTTTATCTTGCCTTTTTCCTCCAAATCCAGACTTTGAATCCATTTTAAAACAACCCCTGAATTAGACATAATTATATATATATCTTTAATAAGAACACACTTTATGCCTCTTCCATGACATATCCGATTTCTTGGCACACCCCATATATACAATCAGATGTGTTGACCTGACTTCCTACTTTTAATAACTTTAAATTTTAGTGAAAACCTAAGAAACAAGAAATTTTGAATTGTCTATTATAAACATCTATGTTAGTTATATTCCTCCAATTTATTATTTTAGTAGTTTTCTTAGGTCTTAGTTATTATTTTAAGTTATTTTCTATTAACCATTTTTATAGCCAATACAAATTAGATATTCACCATAAAGTCCTTAAAGTTAAACACATGGACACCTTTGCTGACAACCCGGAGGATTTAGCTGTTTTCACCAAACCAACAATACCAAAAACTAATCCTACTTATCAAAAATCACACAAACACAGATCTAATATTTTTTTACCTTCAAATTACAGCCATGAGACAATATCATAATTTCACCAGTCTGCAAACTGTAGCTGAAATCCCATGCAGGAAAGCTTTTTACCCTTTTACCCCCACCCCCAGAATCAGGGACTGAGGAGGCTGCAGGGTGGAGTGCAGGCCTTCTTTGGGGGGTGGGGGTAAAAGGGGCTTGTCCAGGATGCCTGGCACAGGTTCTTGTGCCTGGAGGTCACAAAGGCTGGGCACATCCTGCACCCATCCCTCAAGTCAGGATCCTAATAAAGAGCCATGAAAGCTTGAATACATGGAACCTCCCCCCATTTCTGAACAGGATTTCTATTAGACATGGAGGCTGCCCTAAGCCTGGCAAAGAACTAATACGTACAAGGTTTCCACCTTCTCTTTTCCTCTAATAAAGTCAACAGGCAATAGTGGCCAAACTTTGCAAAGCCAAGGCTGGTGCAGCTGGAAAAGCACAAAGGCTAGAGGAGAAAAGATAGAACCCAGTGAAACAAATGTTGCAACATACACAGTGCAGCTTTTCCCAGTAGGGAGGTAGCGAGACTGGGAAGCACCAGAAAAGAAGTGAGCAAAGAGAGGCTGTGTAATACACAGGGGGCTTGTACTTTGCCACTCCAACAGTGGAGATACACAAGAGAAAGGGAGATTCTGAAAATTCAGGGGACCAAATGCAGGGAAGCAGATGCCATAACAACAGTGCAACAAAGCAGCCTCCGACAGACACACATCACTCCATCATCTTACCCTCCTGGAGTTTGCAGGACATTTCCTTCCTGGGGTTTGGCACCAAATGTTAGGTCTGTCTTGATGTCCCCTGGTCCTTGGCTCCCAGTGTCAAGAGTGAACCAATGGCGGAGTGAGCCAATGACAATGACGGAGTGATCACAAATACAAAGCAATTCACACAAACAGTTCATTACAGGAAAGAAAGAAACTATACAAAGTGAAAGTAAAGAAGGAAGCTACCCAAAGTGAAAGTATGTTCCAGAGAGAGGAAGAGGTCAGTCTCCATGTACACAGTACAGCTTTTCCCAGTAGGGAAAGACGGTGAGGACTCCTAGGTGGTTTCCTTTTATTAGCGTGGTTTCCTTTTATTGGCGTGGTCTAGGGGCGGGCTTACAGGAGGTGTGGGGTAGTACCAAATAATTGTCAGGTGTTCTGTGTTTTCTTGCAGTGCCTTCCCCTGATCGGTCCCCAGCTTCTCTGCCTCTAGGAACCACCCTTGTGGCTTACACACACCACTTGCAGATTTGATCTCTACCTAACATAGTAACATTTTTTTATATTAACATGCAGGTCTCCAAAAATGGTCTGAAATAAAGCATTTTTTCTGTTTTCAAGGCATTGTTTAGTCCCTTGCCACATTGAATCTAGACCAGTCCTGTGATACACTTTAACTAATAGAAACTGGCATAAGTGATGTGCCATTTCCGGACACAATCTTTAAGAAATATTTTTTTAAAAGAAAGCATGAAAATGAGTTTTATTGAGGAGAGTAAGATAGGATTACAGGGCAAGAGCAAGATATAGTTTTATAGAGCATGGTACATATGCCACAGATGATGACTAGACCCATTGTCAGAGCAGGGCAAGCAAAAGGAAGAGCAAAGAGAGGGGTTGATTATGGTCTGCATCTTGTTTTATAGTGCCAGATTGGGATCTCCCTCATGGTTCAGAGGTCACCAAGGAACCTCTTTGATTGGACGGTTGGGAGCTGTATGACCTGAGCCTTAAATATGCATGCTGGTTGTTCTAGGTCAATTTCCATACTCTATGGTACCTATGCTGCTTGGTCCATGGGCAAGAGGGTCCTATGCATTCTTTTGCAGCTGGCATGCTAAGTTGATTGGCAAATTCGTAGGGTATTGCCTCCTCCCCCAGTTGCTCAGGAGATTAGGATGGGGCAGGACCAAGATGGGGGCCACATACCCACTTTCATCCCTAGGAGACCTGGAATCCCTTACTATCTACTTAACATTCCCCACTCTCTATTCTAGAGGCCCAAATCATTGGGTAGGGGTGTCGACTCATCTGGCTGCTTTGTGCTGAATAGAGGGTGACAATTTCTATTAGGGTGGCCTCTTGTAGGTTCTCCAAGGTCTCTCCAGGGTACTTTGGTATATGTTCTCAGTAATTGCTGTAGTTGTAGGTGATGGTTGACACCAGGGCTGGCAAAGGATGTCAGACCATTTGTTGCTTCATGGCTTCTAGACAGGATGAAATAAATTTAGTTAGAAAATTTATAAGGATCGGTCCCAATATAAGAATTCCTAAGATGCAAAGGAACACTCCATTATTTTGGTAAAGGGAATTGCAAAAGACATCCCCCAGGGCCTAGAGGTCTTATGTCATGTCTGAAGATTGGAGGCAGATTCTAGGATGGCATTCATGTTGTCCTGAACCTGTCCTGACTGGCTAACATAGAAGCAGTACTGCTCTTTTAAGTAGAAGGATGGGTCCTCCACATCCCAGCTAACTCTGGTTTGGAAAGGTCCTTATCCAGTCTTACTTTCTACCCCAACTACTATTAAGGTCCCAGGCATACCTACTTGGATCCATTATTTTCAGGTGAAGCCATGAAAAGACCAAAATGAAACTCATCCGGCCCCCATGGACAAGGACACCAACACCAGAGACAAATATTAGTGTATTCCCCTGGAAAATCTCTGGTGCCTATTCAAGTAGACTCTTGATGTGACTCCTTCAGAGAAGTAGCACCAACTGTTTATCCATGAGCCAGACACCTTTTGCCCTGGCAAATCAAACTGCCACTTTTTGCCTTCATGGGAACAGCAGCTGCTACTGGAGTAGCCACAGGAGGTACATCCCTGGGACTGCAATCTTTGAGAAATATTATCCCCTCCTTCTTTCCGTGATTTAGGGAGCTCTGAGCCTGCGACTAAGACATATGGCCCCTATTCTCCTCTAGCTTATGTGGAGAGACCACATGGAAAACCCATGTGAAGATAGACGCTCCAAGACCACATGGATATACAGAAAGGTCAAGCACCCCAGAGTTTCAGCTGAGCACAGAGTTACAGCTATTCTTGCCAAAGCACCAGTCACCTTGGAGATTGTATTAATAACTTCAGCACCATATAAATGCAGTGGCAAAATAGATTGTGAGACCAGCAGAAGAACCATCCAGCAAAGCCCCAGTTAACCCTTAAATCATGAGAAATAGAAACATTGTTTTTTTACAATTCACTTAGTTTGGGGATGGTTTATTATGATGTTTTTGATTACCAGAACAGAAATTGGTATCAGAAGTAGGTACTGCCACAGTAAAAAATGGGGTATGGGTTTTGTAAGCAGGTAGCAAGTAAACACTGAGAGTACTGAGGATATTGGTAATGAAGCCTGAAAATACATTAAGGAAATCATAATAGGTGGCTGGAGAAAAGGGAATTCAAGTTATATAATGATAAAAAACAAAAAACAAAAAACAAAAAACACCTGCCTGAGATAATGTAGAAGATAGAAAAGGCACCCAGTGAATTTTTGACTTTAGCTTAGGAGATTTCCAGGAAGAAAATTGAGAGTGCCAATTGATTTACTCGGGCCACCTTGATAAAGTATGAAAGACATGAGATGAGGTATGATAGTAACCATTTCATTTTTAAACAGAATTTGGAGAGAATATGAATTCAGGGCTTGCTAAGTCTGAAAATACAACTGTTCCTCCTACTAATCTTCTTTTAGAAAAAGACTATCAAAATGATAATTGGCTTTACTGCAAAGATAACAGCCATAGTAAAATGTGGCCTCAGTGAAATGAAAGATCTAAGTTGCATCTGTAAAACTCTTTTTTAAAAATCATAAAAATTTAAGGCAAGTTGTGCAGACCATTTCATATAGAAAAAGGCTTCTATGAGCATAAGGCCATTTCTCAAAGACTGTCTTCTGTTACTAATAGAGTATCTAAGACAGCTTTTAAGAATATTTTAAGGATATTGTTCCATAGCAAGCTGATCCATGACCCAAAGTAAAGAGGGACCTATATTGAAGAGATTTGTGCTTACGGCTTCTGTTTAATGTAATGGTTTCTAACTTAATACATAGATGGCTTTAAAAGTTCATTAGGGGTTGGTCCGAGTGCAGTGGTGTTTACAACTAATTGATCACAACCAGTTACAGATTCCTTTGTTCCTTCTCCACTCCCACTGCTCCACTTGACCAGCCTTAAAAAAAAAAAAAAAGAAAGAAAGAAAAAAAGTAAAAAAAAAAAAAAGTTCATTAGGACCTCTACTAGCTCAGACTAAGGGGTACAGAGATAATTCTAAAATAAAGACCTCTGAGACCTATACCTCCAAGAACAGAAAGCCTATTGAGAATTAACCTTACACTGCACAAGTAGGCCATTTCTCATGAAAATGGAAGTGAACAGACACCTCATATTCTAGTGAAAAAAAGAGTGGTTTCCTGCAAGCAACGTGATAAAAATGATCTAAACAGATTGTCAGTTTATCAGAAATAAGAATCTAGAAGACAGAGCTAAGAGTTAGCAAAATCACTCCCAGGGAGCAGATCTGGGCCTATAGAGAGGTATGCATTCCCTGCTCAGAGCTAGGTAATTGACAACATGTGTTTGTCTGGATTTCAGAATTACTATGGATTGGTGTCTGTTATATGCCTTCCCAACTCCTTTTTTTAAGAAATTGTCCCCCCATCACATTGTTTCTATTTCTAGCTCATCTTTTTTTTTTTTTTTTTTTCCGAGACAGAGTCTCGCTTTGTTGTCCAGGCTAGAGTGAGTGCCGTGGCGTCAGCCTAGCTCACAGCAACCTCAAACTCCTGGGCTCGAGTGATCCTTCTGCCTCAGCCTCCCGAGTAGCTGGGACTACAGGCATGCGCCACCATGCCCGGCTAATTTTTTTTATATATATATCAGTTGGCCAATTAATTTCTTTCTATTTATAGTAGAGACGGGGTCTCGCTCTTGCTCAGGCTGGTTTTGAACTCCTGACCTTGAGCAATCCGCCCGCCTCGGCCTCCCAAGAGCTAGGATTACAGGCGTGAGCCACAGCGCCCAGCCTTCTAGCTCATCTTTATCATGTTTTGCCAATTTCAGGTGTAAGCCTTCAAAAGTACTGAAGTCTTCTATTTTTACACTTTTGTAGCCCTAAACCACCTTGAACTACAACATAAGACATTCAGCTACCCTATGAAAGAGAACCTTGTACAGACACTACATAGAGAGACCTCATGGAGAGGGAGAGGCCCCAAACCTACATTGGGTTGGGGGGTTATGCCATCACATTGCCAAAGGTGAGACCACCTTCCAGAATCATCCACATCAGGGCATCAGAAACCTCAGTATGGCTATCTTGGACATTTTAGCTTCAGTCACCTATAATTGCTCCTGCATGGAAGTCCTTAAATAAGAAGAGCTAAAGATCTATCCAACTGAGTCAAACCATAGGATTTTGGAAATAATTGAATGGTGATTGTTTTAAAGTATTAAGTTTTTGAGTGGCGTGTTATAAAATGATAATATGTTTTAGAAGCAGATATAACTATTAAATAATACTTGTGATCCCTCAGATATTACTGTTATGGAGGAAATATCCCTAGTGGATCCACCCATTGAGTGGATTCACCCTAGAATTCAGACCTACCTATTGATGCCTCAAGCCTACAGAAACTGAAACTTACATCATAAAGGTTAGAAGAAAGCAAAGCTGAAATAATGTGGGTATCTAGTATGGATTATTAAGTATTGAATTTACAACCATATTGCTGAATTTTCAGCAATACTTAATTGGCACTTTTGGAAGCTAACAGTCATGGATTATAAAAAATATTTGTAATTCTACATCATTGTGAATTGGAGTCAGACTTGTCATTGATATTTTTGTTTTTTATTTTGTTGTTGGTTAATCTTGTCATGATGGATGGTTTAAAAGAGAATTTTTAAAGCATTTAAATTTTTAAAGCAATTTTTAAAGGCAAAGAGAGTGACAGAAATGTGGGTACCAATGCTGGTAGTGATTAAATCAGTCATATGTTTACAAAGAGTTATGAGGACTAAGTAAATAAATTACTTAGAGTTTTACAAGTATCATTTACAAAGAAAACTAAAATGTTACCAAATATATAGAAATATTTGATATTTCTTATTTTATGAACTGATGATGAAATTTATTCTATTCTATTTTGAATCATATATTTAGAGCAATTTCAAGCATAATTTTGAAGTATTCAAAGAATGCTAAGGGGAGTCTATCAAAATATTTGGAATTAAGTGTAAGAATATTCAAGTGTCACAATAATCAATGTGATTGTAACGGGACAAATGCAAAAGCTTAGAATACTTACACATTGTCACATTTAAACACAAGGGCTGCAGATGATGAAGTATTGGGACAATCTTTAATAAATTTGGTATAAAATAAAATAATGAAAATGATATTTGGGCACTGGCCAAATAAAATGATTGATAAGGTGCTTTCAGCAAAAACTTGAGTTTAATATAATAGATGTTGGCAGAAACCAAAGAAATGATTATTTTCCTAAATGTGGCAAAGTATTATTCGTTAACAGCTGTTTTTCAAATGAGTGAATAAAGTATTTGATGGAGAATTTTTTTTCAGTCAAGCATCTGAGACTAGATAGGTGGTTTCTAAATGAATTGATAATTTCATATTAAATAGTAATGCAGACTGAAAGTGATATTGGGTTAAGCACTGACACTGAGGACACAGTTGGTCTGCTAAGAAAATTGTTTCAGACGTTTAAGCTGTTACAACAGAAGCGAAATATATTCTGAGTTGAAAACATAAGGAAGTTTTATATCCCATTTTGTATGTACAGTTATTTTAGGAAAAGTATTTTAAAATCTGTTAAAATGATCATTTATATCAAGGGAAGACCTCCAAATTCTTGACTGTTCTCAGCTTTGTGAAGAGATGGAGAATGTTTACAATTAACATTTACAATGTTAATTACTATTCCAGACTGGAGCATGTTGACATTTATTTATATATTTATTTATTTATCAAGTTCAAAGGAGATGCAAAGCATGTTGACTTTTACTCAGAAAGTCTTCAGTTTCTTATCAGGTATTGAAAATTCCAAGTCCTTCCAGGAAATATATTTAATCAGTAAGATTTATTCATGAATTTGCAAATTAATTGAATTGTGCACGTATATCTGCTCATTTAAGAAATCTAAATGTGTGCGTATTAGTCAGTATGGGCTAGATTAAGCTGCAATAATATATGATCCTGTATTGTCTTTGACTTGCACTACATCTGACTTTCTCAGTTTGGCCAGGGCTCTGCTCCACAATGGTGGCCTTCATTTTGGAACCCAACATGACAGACTACCACCACATAAACATTGCCAATTACCAGAGGAAGGGGAAGGAATACAATGAACCATAAACTGGCTTTTAAAAGCTTTCGCAAGGAAATGACCCACGTCATTCTATTCCCCAAAGCAAGTCACATAGCTTAGTTTCAAAGGAGTTCCATAATGATATCACAGTTTCCTTAGAAGTCAAGTTTGCCTAAGTATGAAGCCAAAATAATATAATCATTGCATGCTTAGAAGTGTACACATATACCTGATTGGAATGAGTTGGAGTCTTTTTGTTGTCCAAATAGTTGATCATCTTTTTTGAAGAGTTTGATTGAAAACCATTTGGATTATTATAAAAAGGCATTTGAAAGATTTTTTTAAAGTTCTTCCTAAACATTTTCCCAGCCTGATGACACTGGTGCATGAGTCCATAAGCAAACCTTTCTTAACACATGAGGGCAAAGGTAGCATATTTTTTAGGAATTAATCCACAGTTTCCTATTGTATCATAGTAATTATTTATTTCTCTTTCCGATTCCATACTCAAAGTTCTGATTCTTTTGTTAACATAAAAACTTTAAAAAGCAAAATAGTTTTTTTTTCAGGAGCTACATCTTCACTTGATGCTAAGCCACATATGGCCTTATCATTAATCAAAAACATGGTCATTTTTTTCACTGAGTAATTTTAGATTTGTAATTTTGCAAATTGATTAGATTTAGCATTGCTATATATTCTTAACATAAAAACTTGGTTTTAGTTATACTTACCTTGCAGTAACATTCTACTTAGGGAAAGTGAGATAGTTTTAAATACAGTGGTATATAGCAGTGGTATGAATTTATTTAAAATATATTCAATATATGCACTTAATAAAAGGTAACAAAAGATATAGTAAACAAATGTATAGATGGGATACACATACAGCTAAAAATTGTGTAAAGGTCATGTAAATACTGATATTTGGAAAACAGTGGCCTAATGTATGTATTACAAATGATTATTCTAAATTAAAATAGAAAAAAATAATTAGACTGAGTTTGTTCTGAGTTAAAAGTTATGCTACTTTCATTGGGATGTTTAAACATGAACAAATTCTAGAAATGTTAAAGGTTTTAAAGTACCACTTTCAGTTAAAAGAAACTGCTTTTCTAAGGTTTCTTGTTAATAAATACACTAGAAAATTATCAGAAAAAAATATGTACTGTGAAAAATAATTTGCAAAAAATCATTTGTATGTGTACATATTGATGTTATTTTTTACAATAAAATATTTGTCATTGTCTAAATAAGTAAATAATTTTCAGATCTATTGCAGTATTTTTTTTAAAAAAATATACTGCTTTATTATAGGAATAAAGGATACTGCACAGAATACAGATGCACCTCCAGGTACAGGAGATGCATAAAGCAAGTTACATGGGAAGGGGCATGAAGCTTCCATGCCCTCTCCAAGAGCACCACTGTCAGGGACCTCCATGTGTTCTGCAATCTGGAAGCTCTCTGAAACCTGTATTTTTGGCTTTTTAATGTTCCTTTTAAAAAAATTGTTTTAATAAATTTAAGGGTGCAAGTGGTTTTTGGTCACATAATAGGCAGCCTACAGAAGGGGAAAAAATATTCTCGAGCTATACATCCGACAGAGGACTAATATCCAGAATCTACATGAATCAAAACAAACTAGCATGAAAAAAAACCAGATAAACCCATTAAAAAGTAGGCAAAAGACATGAACAGACATTTTTCAAAAGAAAACAGACAAACTGCCAACACGTGAAAAAATGCTCACTATCACTAATCATCAGGGAAATGCCAATTAAAACCACAATGAGATACCACCTTACTTCAGGCAGAATGGGCATTATTGTTAATAAAAAGTCAAAAAAACAATGGATGTTGGCACAGGTGCAGTGAAAGGGGTCACTTATACACTGTTGCTGAGAATGTAAATTAGTATACCCTCTGTGGAAAACTGTTTGGAGATTTCTCAAAGAACTAAAAGTAGATCTACTATTTGATCCAACAATCTCACTCTACTAGATATCTCCACAAAGGGAAAGAAATCAATATATTAAAAAGATACCTGGACTCATGTTTATTGCAGCACTATCCATAATATAAAAGATATGGAGTCCATCTACATGTCCATCAATGGATAATTGGGTAAAGAAAACACTATTAAGCCAAAAAGAATGGAATCATGTCTTTTGCCCCAGCTTGAAAGGAAATAAAGGGTGTTACCTAAGGGAAGTACTGCAGGGATGGAAAACCAAATATCACGTGTTCTCACTTAGAAGTGGGAGCTATGCTATGGGTACACAGGGGCCTACAGAGAGGTACAATGGACATTGGAGACTCAGAAGGGAGGAGGTTGGGGGAGTGATGGAAGAAAAAGTACCCACTGGGTGCAATGTACACTATTTAGGAGACAGGTACACTAAAAACCCAGACATCACCACTATAGCAGTGTTTAAACTGTGGCACTTATACCATTCTAAATTGCTTTTGGGGGATATGCCAGACAAGCTGGCATTTCTTACCAAGTAATTTACTAACAAGAAAGTTTACTCTTAGCCACAGCTGGCCTTAAGATAGGACAGGCAAGTGTTCTTGTGAGGCCATTTTAGAGATGTTAAAAAGCCCTCTAGCTTCCACAAAATTATAGTAAAACCTTTGCTTTTTATTTTATTTATTCATTTAAGGTGTGCTTAGTCCAGCCTAAATAATCCTAAGAAGGACAAATGTTCTCACCTGTTTATTGATTGCTATTTGTTATTTAGCATGAATCAATTCACTGAAAGCAAATTTTGATAAGGAAAGCATAAAAGCTAATCTCTTAACTTTATATTTAAGAGAAAAGTGGAAAATGTGAGAATGTGGAAGAATGTGGGTCAAAGGCAAATTTCCAAAATTTTACAGTTCTATTCAGGGCTGGTCCTAACCATCACTCCAAAATTCAGTATCTACTGACATCCCACCAAGCCCTTGTAGACACCTGAGGAGTCAAATCTAGAGCCCAGATAGTCTTGGAGCCAGAACAGGAGTTTTTCAAAGTCACATTTTCAGTATTACAGCCATGAAGCTATAAGCATATTCCCATCTGCCTGCGTGGAGAAGGATGATCTCTGGTTAAAGTACTTTTCCTAGTGAGCACCTGAGATCCTGGACCTCTGACTCCTATGTTAAATCTAGGATCCCTGACCCCTGCTAGGAGGGTACATTTGGAATGGAGTCCCTATTGGCTTATGTCAGCATCTTGAACACCAATATGTCAGCATCTTTAACACCAATTTGTATGTACAGTTAGAAAAATCTTAGTAGATATAAAAATCTTAAGAACTATTTATTCAATGAAAGAAAATTATTTGCTGGGTTGAAGTCAAGTTTCCAAAGCTTGCCATTTGATATGGTCTGGATGTTTATTTCCTCCAAATTTCATGTTGAAATTTGATCCTCAGTATTGGAGGTGGGATATGTTTGGGTCAAGGGGACAGATCCCTCATGAATGGCTTGATGCCCTCCCATGATAATGAGTGAATTCTTGCTGTATTAGTTCACAGGAGAGCTGGTTAGCTAAAAGGGTGTAGCACTCCTCCTTCTCTCGTTTGCTCCCCCCGCCCTTGCCACGTGACACACCTGTTCTCCATTTGCCTTCTGCCTAAATTGGAAGCTCCCTGAAGCCCTCACCAGAAGCAGATGTTGGTACCATGCTTCTTGCACAGCTTGCAGAACCATGAGCCAAATACACCTCAGGTATTTGCTTTATAGCATTGTAAAATGGGCTAACACACCATTATAACCACTGGTGTAAGGGTTCAGGGAAAGAGACACGCTATGAATAGGGCAAAAAAGTTATATAGTAGGTACAGAAATATTTTTTCAAATTAAAGGATGAAAACTGCAAATGGGAATAGAAAAATATTTGAATCTTCAAAGAAAAACTAAATTCAAATGGAGACTCAAAGAAAATAAATTACATAATCTGTGTAGACACAATGCAGAAAATGTGGGAATAATAATCGCTGTTTAAAAGTGTGTACAGTTGAGAAGAATCATAAAGCCGGAAGGGAACTTAAATATATATTTAATCCAGTCCTGTTATTTTATGGACCGAGATTGTCATTGATTCCATAATTACTCTATTGCAAATGGAGAAAAGAGCTAGTCTCAACCACTCAAAACCTAAAGGAGGCAACAAGAAAAGCATGATACAAAAAAATTGATAAGAGACAACGCCTCACTATGTTGCTCAGGCTGGTCTTGAACTCCTGACCTCAAATGATCCTCTCGCCTCGGCCTCCCAAAGTGCTGGGATTACAGGAACTCAACAGAGGCAGTTATTATCCCGACTGCAAATTGACCCAGTAATGGCAGAAACTCTGCAGATCAGTCAAGATTACTATGACATGGAATCCATGGTCCATGCAGACACAAGATCATTTATTCTGAAGAAGCCAAAGCTGTCTGAGGAAGTAGTAGTGGCACCAACCCAAGAGTCGGGGATGAAGACTGCAGATACCCTTCGGGTACTTTCAGGACACCTTATGCAGACACGAGATCTTGTACAACCAGATAAACCTGCAAGTCCCAAGTTTATAGTGACGCTGGATGGTGTCCCCAGCCCCCCAGGATACATGTCAGATCAAGAGGAGGACATGTGCTTTGAAGGAATGAAACCGGTAAACCAAACTGCAGCCTCAAACAAGGGACTCAGAGGTCTCCTCCACCCACAGCAGCTACAGTTGCTGAGCAGGCAGCTTGAGGACCCAAATGGTAGCTTTTCCAACGCTGAGATGAGTGAACTGAGTGTGGCACAGAAACCAGAAAAGCTTTTGGAGCGCTGCAAGTACTGGCCTGCTTGTAAAAATGGGGATGAGTGTGCTTACCATCATCCCATCTCACCTTGCAAAGCCTTCCCCAATTGTAAATTTGCTGAAAAATGTTTGTTTGTTCACCCAAATTGTAAATATGATGCAAAGTGTACTAAACCAGATTGTCCTTTTACTCATATGAGTAGAAGAATTCCAATACTGCCTCCAAAACCAGCAGTTACAACAGCAATACCACCTTCTAGTAGTCAGCTCTGCCGTTACTTCCCGGCATGTAAGAAAATGGAATGTCCCTTCTATCATCCAAAACACTGTAGGTTTAACACTCAGTGTACAAGACCAGATTGCACGTTTTACCATCCCACCATTACTATACCACCACGACATGCCTTGAAATGGATTCGACCTCAAACCAGCGAATGACACCCAGTCCTGCCAGGCAGAAGATCATGCAGTTTGAAAGTTTCCATCTACTGATGAAAGATATGCTACAGAACTTGTCAAATCTTTGAAACTTGGAATATATTGCTTTCATAATATGAAGTTTAAAAAAAAAATTGATAAATTGGATATTATTAAAATTGAAGCTTATGTTACGCAAAAGACACAGAATTTAATAAAAAAACAAAAAGACAAGCCACAGGCTGGAAGAAAACATTTGCAAAACATGTATCTGATAACATGCTTGTATCCAAAATATACAAAGAACTCTTAAAATGCAACAAAACAGCAAATAAAATTTTAAAATTTGGGCAAAAGATCTGAAAAAACACACTTCTCCAGGGAAGAAAAATGTATGTCAAATAAACACAATAAACAATTCTGAACATCATTTGTCACTAGAGAAATGGCAATTAAAACAATAAGATACTACTACATACCTATTAGAATGGCTAAAAACAATAAAATATAATGACAATATCATTTGCTGGTATTGGATGTGGGGCTGGTAAGGATATGAGCAACAGGAACTAGTGGGGATTCAAAGCACTACAACCACTTTGGAAGGCAATTCGGCACTTTCATGTAAAGCTAAACTAGCTTCACCATGCAATCCCGCAATCATGCTCCTTGATATTTAACCAACTGACCCCTGGAAGATGTCCTTCCATAGATGAAATGATAAATAAACTACAGTATATCAATACAATTGAATACTATTTAGCAATAAAAACAATTATCTATCAAGCTACACAAAGATACGAATGAACCTTAAGTGCATATAGCTAAGTCAGTCATATATATATATATATATAGCTTAGCCAGTCTGAAAAGCCCCCTGCCATTTATATTTCATTCTGGTGAAGGCAGACTTAAGGAGATGATGCAAATCAATAATTTCTAGGGCTTCTGTGAGAGTGGAGGAGAGCAGTGATTGAATAGGTGAAGCACAGGAGATATTTTTAGGATGGTCAAATTATTCTTTATGATACTATAATTATGGGTACATGCCACTATGCATTTGTCAAAATCCATAGAACTCATAGCAATCAGAGTGAACCTTAATGTGTATAAATTTTAAAGGATCATTTAGGAGTCTGAAGGACCCCAAGAAGGAATGCAGAATGTGACAAGAGAATCCAATTGTATTACAAATGTATGAAATAACCTTTCTGAAGCAAGTAGTTGTAAAAACTGCTAACCTAAGTAGCTTTTGAAATGAATGGGGTCTATAAGACTAAAGGCAAAAGGAACTATACATAAGCACTACCCTAATCGATACAGTGGTTTTGTTTCAGAAATTGGAAATTTACTACCAAAGAATAAGAAACTCATTATGTGACCTAGAAAATTTTCTGCCTATGCTTATTGTGGTCTTTTCTCAAACTGTGATCAGAGTACCACTGGGCACAGAATAGCAGAGAGTACTCACTAGAATTATTGATTCCAGGGGCCAACACCAGACAGAACTCATGAACCAGAATCTCAGAATGGGAAAGTATGAAAGAGCAGAGAAGGGAATACCAAGAGTATGAACCTTCACAAACACTTTAGCCAATTATCATCATAAATTCTGTGCTTAAACACTTATTTTGGAAAAAGTACAACATGAAATTCTCTTAGAATTATCAAAAGTATATTTTTCCATACATGAACATCATAAATGAAATTGTGCCTCTCTCTTCTTCTGGCATCAAATAATTAACACAAGACTTGCATCACCATGTACAAACATAAACTTTTATTACCTTTTACGATTCTACCAGCACATCTTTAAATTATGGTAAATTAGTTAATCTTGTTTTTCTAACTTATTTTCTGAAAAGTCACTAATTGAAACTGATTTTTAGGATTTATAAACATTGGCACCATTTATAAAAACACCTTTCTCACCTTCCTGCATTCATGTACTTCATAGTTTATTCAGGAAGATATTTAAATGGCAATGTTAGAGAAGTCCTAACAAACAAGGCATGCATTACTCTAGCAAATAATTAATTTTCAAGGGACCCCTATTTTGACACAAGTTGGTGAATCACTTTTTGTATACATTTGTGTGTTTCTTTTTTTTTTTTTTTTTTTGAGACAGAGTCTCACTTTGTTGCCCAGGCTAGAGTGAGTGCCGTGGCGTCAGCCTGGCTCACAGCAACCTCAAACTCCTGGGCTCGAGTGATCCTTCTGCCTCAGCCTCCCGGGTAAGCTGGGACTACAGGCATGCGCCACCATGCCCGGCTAATTTTTTATATATATATCAGTTGGCCAATTAATTTCTTTCTATTTATAGTAGAGACGGGGTCTCGCTCTTGCTCAGGCTGGTTTTGAACTCCTGACCTTGAGCAATCCGCCCGCCTCGGCCTCCCAAGAGCTAGGATTACAGGCGTGAGCCACAGCGCCCGGCCTGTGTGTTTCTTTTTAATGTAAAAATTCTTCTATTTGGTGCTTCTCTGGTTGAATGGTATTCCACTTCTATTGAAAGTTTAATGGGGTATTATAAGTCATAAATAGTTATTTATTTTATTTTTATTTTACTGTCTCTGATTTTTTCCTCCAACTAAACTTTCAATAATTTAAATATGTAAGGCATTTTACATTAGAAATCTAATCATGTCCTAAAATGTTCTAAAGTGTCAAATGATTTATTTTGTCTAGAAGTAGTGTCACTATGAAATCAGCATCTTTTTTAGTTTATACTTGGGTTGCAAGGGCAGTAATAAAAACAGAGGTTAGCAAGCAACAATAATCATGAAAGGTGAATTGATTTTTAGTTTTGTCCACAAAAATTTCTATTTCTTTTATGTATCACTATGATTTTAGAAAACATCACAATAGCAATTTGAGTCTTAGACAGAAATGAGGTGGTATATCTTTGAAGTAAGACCTAGGGCAATGGGTGACAGCTACACAGAGCTCAATATACGAAGAACTTACAAAGAAATTGACAGCCTGAAAGATGACAAAGCTTTGTCACCAAGTGAGAACACTTGTCCTTGTAAGTAGTATCAGAAGGAGGAGGATGGGAGGGAGGGAAGGAAGGATAGAGGAATAGAGAGAGGGAGGGAGGGAGGTGCAGCTGAGAAAGAAAGTGATTGAAATGAATATTTTTTAAGGTCTGGTCCAGCAAGAGCTCTGTATTAAGCTACCTGAATTTAAAAATGAAGGAGAGGGAGCAATGATATAACATGTTAGTATATTTGTTAAGATTTACAAATAGATTAAAAATTTCCATACAAATATAAATAATTACTAATCATCTACTAATTATTGCTGCATTATAAATTCTCCCCAAACTTAGAGGCTTAAATGAACATTTTATTTTGATCATGAATTATGGGTTAGGAATTTGGGGAGGACTCAGCTTGGAAGTTCTTCCTGTGTGGGTTCTCATACAGTTAGAATTAGATAATGACAGTCATCTGAAGGCTTCACTGGGGTGGACGTCCAAGATGGCTGACTCCAGGGCTGGCAGTCCATGCTGGCCACTGGTTGGGAGCTGTGCTGGGTTACTAACTAGCACACCCATTTGGTCTACCGGGCAGGGACGTCTCAGATTAGTCAGATTTCTTACACTGTGGCTCAGGGCTCCAAATGTGAGTGTCCACCAAAAAAGGACACAAGGTAACTTGACTTCCAAAATCACACAATATCACTTTTACCTCGATCTGTAGATTTCAAGTGAGTCAGTTAACATGTCAGTTTGAGTTGAGCTACACTGATCCAGTATCCTTTAGACCATTTTGATTGGGAGCCCTAACAAATAAAGATCGTTGACATCTCTTGATCAATCTTATGGAGTTGTCACTGCTTTTTAATTCCTAAGATGGAAACCAGCCCTTATCTGAGGAATAGGTTTATTGCTGTTGACTGTGGAATGTAAAATAATAACAATGATTTCTATCACAGAAAGATTCATTTTATTTTTTAGTCATATAAAAAATGGTAAAATCATGTTGTTGCACTTACCTATACAAATAGAGCTCTGTTCAATTTTGCCTAACTGCCTGGCAGACATGCTGAACATGATAATCTACCGGCTAAGAGGGAGGAGACACTGTGGAACTGTCACTGAAATTTTTCATTATTACAGAACAAAGGCATGTGGCATTATTTATAAATAAAGATAATTTTCTCCTCATTGCACAGAGAAAATGTATCGTTAAAAAAATACAAAATTTTGGCAACGTATATGGTTGTGGAACATTATTCATGTTTGTGAAAAATTAGAAATATCTTAAATGTCCAAAGTTAGGGAAGTCCACTTATAAATGCAGCAAATAAGTATGTTTAGGAGGAACTTAAATCATATAAGAAGTCATAAGGGAAAATAATTATAAAAAGTTGTTTATGGAAAAAGAATGCAGAATTGTGCATACTATATGATTTAGAATAGTTAAATGAAAAATAATATAAATAGAAAAGAGCAGAAATTCTATAAACTGGTAATAAAACAATCTATGCAGAGCTTTAAAAATCTGTTTTATTTCTGCAGTATACACATTTTCCTTTTATGATCAAGAAAGGATAAAGCAATCTTTTTATAATAGAATATTAAAAAATAGAATGTATTTCCTTACATATATATATACCCACACAGAAAAAGAGGAATTTACTATTTCTATCCTTTAATTACTCATCTTACTACATCATAATCTAGCTTATTTTTCTCATGATCCCAAGGCCCACGTCAAATATTACTTCTTTTCATTACTTTTTCTGATATAATCAGACAGAATTCTTTGCTCTTAAAATTGTGCTCATATAGCACATTTTAAAACATTGAAATCTAATTTACAATCATAAAATTTACCCCATTATAGTACAAAATTCAGTAGTTTCTAGTATATTTCTAGTATATTCAGTAGTTTCTAATGGTGCGCGACCATCACCACTACCTCATACCAGAATATTTTCATCACCCCAAGAAGAAATCCCTTATCCATTAGGAGCCACACCTCATTCCTTGCTGCCCCCAACCCCTAGCAATCACTAATATGTTTTCTCTCTTTATGGATTTGCCTGTCCTGGACATTTCATATAAACCGGAATCACATATTATGTGATGTTTTGTGCCTGACTTTTTCATTTAGCATAACATTGTCCACATC